TAGTTGTTCACACAACTTAACTCTTCCCAGAAGTACAGTTAAATTAACACGTGGCATGAAGTTTGGCATATCACAAATCTAAGCTCTTTGTCCCATGCTCAAGTTAAAAGTGTGTAGAAACCTAGGCCTGTTTTGAAGCAAGAAATAAGTGCATGGCTAAGAATCATCTCAAGTTAAATTATTGAAAACTCTCTATCTTCTAACACTAAAATGGACACACATCACAGTACATCCTGTTGCTACGTTTAACATGCAGAGAATTACTCTTTAAAGGATAATCACAATGGACAATAGGCATGACTTTTTTAAAATCATAACTTTTTCTTTAGGAGCCATATGGTAGGTAATCTAAAGGTCATATGGTATGTAACCTAGGGACCATATGATAGGTAATCATAAAACAATTAACCATAAAAGGGATTGATGATCAATTTAAATCACAAACAAGTAGCATGGACATCGTACTATTCACTTCCAAGCAATGGATAATTGGTACCTTGTTTATAGACTACACAGACCACTAAGAACTTTCCCTCCTTGACAAGCAACGAGTCATATTGATTAAAGCAACAAGTGACAATCACCAAGTCAAGACAAACCCATCAATTTCCATTTACAAAATAATCGAGGAAATACCAAAAAACAAAAGAAAACTCCTACAAAGATTTTTTTTTTTTTGGGGGGGGGGGGGGAGGGGGGTGCATGGAAACCATAATAAAGGTTTCTGGAAGACATTAGCAACAATCATTACACAATTGGCTGCACCAATCTTCAATCTTCCAATACAAAAATCAAAACACAAATATGAAAATCATCAAAAAAACCCATGCAATCAACTGGCTTACTGTTGCTCAACTTTCCAATTCATCAAAAAAAAAAAAAAAAAAAGAAACTGGCTTACTGTTGCTCAACCTTTCAATTCATCAAAAAAAAAAAGGGAAAAAGAAAGACAGAAAGAAAGAAAATCACACAACTCACAGGTAAATCGATCAAACACATCTAATAGCGCATTATTTTTATGCTCACCAAGGCATATCCACATCTATACACATGAAACTACTAATAGCACGGAAATAAACCCCCAAGGCATAAAAAGATTCAGTTTTGATAAAACCCCAATAAAATAGTAAGAGGGGTTGAAGATTAGGCAACCTTTCTTGGCCAGCAGTGTCCCAAATCTGAGCTTTGATAACCTTGGAGTCTACGTTAAGACTTCTAGTAGCAAACTCCACACCAATAGTGGACTTAGACTCGAGATTAAACTCATTCCTGGTGAATCTTGAAAGCAGATTGGATTTGCCAACCCCTGAATCACCTATTAGCACTAGCTTGAACAGGTAATCATACTCATCTTCAGCTCTGTAGCCTGCCATATCTGATGTATCTGGCTCTCCTTTTCTTTCAGTAGGTGTTGTGTGTGTGAATTTCTGTTCCACCAGTATTGGTTAGTAGTGGTGGTGACGGATGTTGGTTAGGCAGCTGAGTCTTTTTTGAAAAAGGAGGCTCGAAGTGGGAAGGAAATGCTGTAGACTGTTGTCGGGGGATTTGCCTAGATTCCTGCTTCCAGAATTGAAAGAAATCAGCCAATATTAATTTACATCTTTACCCTTTAATTTTATATCCTCAACATTCAATGATTCAACAAAGAGTGAATCCATGGGCTCTCTCTCTCTCTCTCTCTGTTAATGATGAATATGTTTGGATAACAGATATTTGGGATAATTTTTTTTCGAAGAAAATACTGTATTAATTGTTTGACATGATGTACGTGAAATAAAATAATTATTAAAAAATGTATTAATGATGCAATCAAATAAATGATTATTTAAACAAATCCAACATTTTTTGTGTACACGATTTCAGATATATGCATCCTTTATTTTCTTAAAACTAATCTTCTAATAGAAAATTTCTTAAGAAAAAAGAGAAATTACTATTAGAATTTTTGAGTTTGATAGATATCTTTCTTTCTGTTTTAATACAATATTTTACGACTGATCCTACATTAGGAGGAGAGGGGGGGATAGAGATGGATCCAACTAAGATATTGTAAATTCGAAAGGATTTTTTTTTTAATACAACATTTTTACAATTGATCCTACATTAGAGGAAGAAGAGAGGGGAAAAGAAATAGACCCAACTAAACCATTGAAATTTCAAAAAGAACATTTTTTTTATTGCAATATTTTTACAATTGATCGTATATTAAGGGAAGAGGGGAGAGGAATGAAGATGGATTCAGTCAAACTATTGAGAATTTGAAAATTCCTGAATGGAAAATGTAGGCAATGAATTTTGAATTCGTTACCTATACCAAGGAAGAACTTTTTATCTCTCCCTAGTGGCCAACAGAACTAATTCAGTTCAGTTCGATAGTTTGATAGATATCACTTCTTAGTTTTTTTTTTTTAATGTATTCTTTAAATTCTTTAAGACTTTTTTCTTCTTTACACTTTTGAAATATACTTTTGCAAGTTTATAAGAATTCATATTCCCAATTCTGCCAATTGACTCCTTGCTAATTCCATTGACTTATTAAGTACATGAAACCATTGAACTTCATCGGCGATCAACGGAAAAGTCAAACGCAATTTGGAGTAATTGTGTGTACTAGTAAAATTACAGGACACAAAAAGCACTGATATCATTCGGGGTTCGGTTCCGTGATTGTAGCCCAGTTGGGTGAGAGCCACGTCCAGGGATCGAATCCCCGGATAACATTTGGTCGGTGATGTTGGGCAGCCTCTCCTGGCCACGCACAATAAGGATTAGTTGGGATGTACTGGATTACCAGTTCATGACCCCAAATACCCTCTGTGATGACAAAAAAAAAAAAAGCACTAATATCATTACTCTCCACTAAATACATTAGGATCACTCATTCAAAAAAAAAAAAAAATTGAAAGAACACTAGGATCACCTAGGACACCATGTATTTCAAGAAATCTCCTTTTATGTGTCCCTCAAAATTGAAAGTAGAGCCTCATGGAGAGTAACTTGTATGCATTTGGGAAAGAATAATTACGTAGCAACAAAACTGTAATAATGTAGAACAACTCACTCTATAGTGTGTGTGTGTAGAGATCTCATGTTTATCAGTCTTGTTTTAGCTGTATATTTTAGAGATATGTGGTGGATATTAGTCTCAAACTCTAGCTGGAAACGTTGTTGGCTGGTTTTGCTTTAATGTAATATGATGCTTTGCTTGTCATATTCTGGTTGATAAAAGGCAAATGCGTGATAGCCAGACAAGCCATGCGTGCCTTTCTCTCTCTGTTTTTTTTTTTGTAGTGCTTAATTCCTGGGTAAGCAGTTGCTGGTATCGAATTGCGTAGACACCATTTTAAGATGAGTCGAAAGTCGAAACAGGTTGATGCAGCTAAGCGGAGCCCAGTTGTTAAATGCAAGTCATTGATGAGGTTAAAGTCCATTAATTCTCCGTGGACAAACTGGTGCAATATGCCCAAAACAAGCACCACTTTCACTGGCCCAATTTGATTGCATTATTAGCTGCAGCATGCATGCAGTGCCCAGCTGTAGTTGTCTGTCTCACTTAATATATTTCAAATGGGGTGTTGTCGACTCGAGTCGCACCGAGCTCGACTTGATTCTCCCGTGAAGACACCCAAATTCGAGTCCATGTCCGTTCAAGATATACAGTTTATGCTCGAGCTCGATTCGATAGGGCTCGAATAGGTTGACTCGAAAGTTCGATCTCTTACTTAGAATTCACAGGCCCAAAATTTTCAAAATTCACAGCCATGATTTCACAACCGGCAGATTCATTGCATTTCAAATGAGAAGAGCCGCACAACAGACAGGAACCCTCTGAATCTGATGGGGCTATCAAGATCTTTGGTCAAAGATTACTACTACTACTACTAGTACTAAATTTTCTCTTGGCGCTGATCCTGCAAGTCCGGAAACCTGTCTTTGAAAATGCGCCACGTGTCAAGGTGAGATGGACAGCCAGCTGGCAAAGTTAAATCAAAACACGCATCCCAAGGGGTGGTTTCAAAAAACTTTCCAAGCTGTCGTCCGTACGCTCACAGGCCGAGGGTTGACCCAACAAACAAACGCCGAGTCCACTTAAATCAAATGCCAAACGTGTCATATTGCCCAGCCCAAACGTGCAGCGCACGTGGTCATTCACCGCGTGCTCCCCACAGCTGGCGCTTTGGTCCGGACTTCTAAGTTCTAAGTCGGCTGGCTAAACCTTATCCTCCTCCTTTTTGGAGCTGTGATATATCCACCCGGATTTCATCCAACCAGCTCTTAATCTAAACTTAATAATATCTTTTTGCATATAATAGGGACGTCCTTTTTTTTTTGGCTTTTGGAGCAGCCATCCATCATTTTCAAGATTGATGGCTGAGTAATTGAATACTCTAATCTCTTCTACCCTACACAACAAGAAAATCTCCTAGCTGATTAATATATTGTATGATGAGACGAACGAGGGGATAATAAATGATATTAAAGTTGAAAAAATAATTTATTAAGTAACTTTATAACGATTCTTTAATTTTTGACACGTAAACATGTCGTATTACAATAGAGTGAAGTTTAACTCTTAAAATTAATGATACATATAATAATTATGGAAAATATTGAATGAACTATTTAATAGTAATGCAAGTATTAGATTTTCATCATAAAATAAAATCCGTTATGACTGCAAACAAAATAGTAATGGGAATGACAAAAATTCATGCCCATGGTAAGTTTTAGAGTGTATTTGGACCATTTGAAAAAAAAAAATAATTTATCTGTATTATAAATGCATTTTTCGTTCACTTTTTTTAATCATCTTTATCAAAATATTTCAATTATGAACTTTATTCCAGAGTGCACATTTACAGTAAAACAGCATTCACAACGTGAAAATCAGTATTCAGAATGCACATTTATTGGCTTGTGACATTAGTTGAGTGCTGTCGTGTGATACCAGAGATTCTTTTATTTCTTTGCACGTTTTGTTCCAAAAAAGAAAAAAAATTCAATATGAAATAAATTATTTTACTCTGAAATATTCTTCATTTTCCAGGGCCACTTTGCACTCTTTCTGGAGATCACTTATATTATATATATATATATACACATTTCATGCAAAGTCCATAATTATTTTCTATAGTTCTTTGAAATAGACCCAAATTTGACCCCAATACACCTCCAAAGATCAAAGCTTTCTCCCCGAAAAGATTCAAAAGATTCACCTGATTTAATAACAGAGGTCAGTTTCGCTTCTCAATTTCAGGATGTCTTTCATCCTTTTTCAATTTGAGTTTTGCAAATTTAGGGCTTTTGATAATTGGTTTTTCTCTTGTTCACGTTTTTCTCAGTTGGGCTTTGCTTAGATCACTAATTTATTCAATTACAGTAAACGGGTTTCTCTTTAATTGGCTTGATGTCTTGCTTTCTTCATTTTCTACTGCATTTGTTGAATTTTTAGTTGTAATTTAGTGTAGATTGTTTCTGAATTGATTCTTTTATGTGAAAAAGGTGTTCTTGGGCTCGTGCAGATAATTGAAAACTATCAATTTGAGGGGAAAAGAAGAATTTTGAGTTGTGGGGTTTAGGTTGGCGACTTTTGTTCTGAATTTTTTGGGGAGATAATACAGAACCTTGGAAAAATGTTGTCAAGATCGTATACTAATCTCTTAGATTTGGCATCCGGGAATATTCCGGTAATGGGTAGAGAGAAGGAAAGGAGAAGGTTTCCTAGGGTCATGACCGTGCCCGGAAGTATATGTGAGCTAGATGATGACCAGGCGCATAGTGTTGCGTCGGATAATCCGTCTTCAATAGCTGGTGATAGGATGATAGTTGTGTCAAATCAGTTGCCATTGAAAGCTAAGCGAAGACCTGATAATAAAGGATGGAGCTTTACTTGGAATGAGGATTCATTGCTTCTGAGGCTTAAAGATGGTTTGCCAGAAGATATGGAAGTGCAATACGTTGGGTCACTGTGCGTTGATGTTGATCCAATTGAACAAGATGATGTTGCCAATTATCTTTTGGAAAAATTTAAATGCGTGCCGACTTTTCTTCCGCCGAATATTGTGGAGAAGTATTACAACGGTTTCTGCAAGAAGCAGTTGTGGCCGCTCTTTCACTACATGCTGCCATTTTCTGCTGATAATGGAGGGCGGTTTGATCGTTCCATGTGGGAAGCATACGTGTCGGCCAACAAGATATTTTCGCAGAGAGTGATTGAGGTGCTAAATCCTGAGGATGACTTTGTTTGGATTCATGATTATCATTTAATGGTGTTGCCCACTTTCTTGAGGAGGCGCTTTACTCGATTGAGGATGGGGTTCTTCCTCCACAGTCCATTTCCTTCATCAGAGATATACAGGACACTTCCTGTTAGAGAAGAGATTCTTAAGGCTTTACTTAATTGCGATCTTATTGGTTTTCATACTTTTGACTATGCCCGGCACTTCCTCTCTTGTTGTAGTCGCATGATGGGCTTGGAGTATTTATCAAAAAGGGGTTATATAGGGTTGGATTACTTTGGTAGGACCGTTGGTATTAAAATCATGCCCGTTGGAATACATATGGGCCATGTTGAATCAGTGATGAAACTTGCTGATAAGGAGATGAGGTATGAAGAGCTGAAGAAGCAATTTGAAGGGAAAACCGTGTTGCTTGGGGTCGATGATATGGATATCTTCAAAGGCATCAATTTGAAAATCCTAGCTATGGAGAATATGCTCAAGCAACATTCGAAATGGCAAGGAAGGGCAGTGCTGCTTCAGATTTTAAATCCTGTTAGAGGAAGAGGGTTGGACTTGGAGCAAATACAGGCTGAAATACAGGAAAGCTGCAACAGGATCAATGAGAAATTTGGAAAGCCTGGATATCAACCTGTTGTTCTAATTGACAGGCCTGTGCCCATCTCAGAGAGAATGGCTTATTACAGGATTGCTGAGTGTGTTGTGGTAACTGCAGTAAGGGATGGGATGAACCTGACCCCATATGAATACATTGTTTGTAGACAGGGAATACCTGGTGCAGAAGCAGGCTCAGATTTGAGTGGAACCAAAAAGAGCATGCTGGTTGTTTCAGAATTCATTGGGTGTTCTCCTTCCCTTAGCGGGGCAATACGAGTCAACCCATGGAATGTTGAAGCAACTTCTGAGGCACTGAATGAGGCTATATCAATGTCTGACCAAGAGAAAGAACTGCGACATGAGAAGCATTATCGTTATGTAAGTACGCATGATGTGGCATATTGGGCAAGAAGCTTCCTGCAAGACTTGGAGAGGACATGTGCTGATCATTTTAGGAAGAGATCTTATGGCATAGGTTTGGGATTCGGGTTCAGAGTTGTAGCTCTGGATCCTAACTTTAGAAAGCTTTCAATTGATGATATTGTGTCAGCTTACACTAAGGCTCAGCATAGGGCCATATTGTTGGACTATGACGGGACTGTAATGCCTCAAAATTCCATCATCAAAACTCCAAACCCTGAAGTGCTCTCTATCTTGAACACACTCTGTGGGGATCCAAATAATGTGGTCTTCATAGTCAGCGGAAGGGGGAGGGACAGCTTAAGCAGATGGTTTGAGCCTTGCAAACAGCTGGGACTTGCAGCTGAACATGGCTACTTCTTAAGGTTTGGTTTCCTAGAACGTGTTTTTCTGGTTTCAAATTTTCATTGACATCTTTTATGGCTTCAGATGTTCCAGTGGTGCTGTCTTGTGTCCGGTTTGATGCCTTGAAATGGTTTTACACTGAAACTTCACATAGTTATCGTCTATTTTTGCTAATAATATATATAGAAGTATTCTTCTGATTGACGATTTGTTGTTCTTTATACTTGTCCTGGTAAGTAGGTTTACTGTTCACTCTCTTTGGGAATCCAATTGGAAGGCACTTATGAAGTTAATGAAGAAATGTGGTCAAAATTGATTCTGAGGGGCTTCTGGTTTTAAGCTTTGTGTCTTTAGGGTTTAATGGGGTTAGGTAAATAGTTAGCCTACACATTAATTCGCAACCTGTACAGCTTCTCTAATGATGGGGTCAGTGGTTAACTAAATACCCAGTAACTACTCAAGTAGTTTATAGAGGACCTTCATTTTGCTGGAGTAGTGAATGTTTTAGCTTCATTTCTTTTTCTCTCTTGACCAGATATTTTGTAAACGTTAATGCTTAAGTTGGAATGCAGTTAAGGATACTTGGTGGTTTCTAGGAGCCCATTATCTAGATATGGGTGCTAATGGAGCACTCCGGGTAAGGGTTTCTTGTGGAAAGAAATTAATTGGGATTGGACAATTTGGTACTGGAAATGCTATACACAGAACCAATAAACAACACAAAAAAAAAAAAAAACAAAAAAGAACCAATAAAAAAACCACGTTTCCTTTGTTGTTGTTTTGCTCTATTACTAATTCTGCAAATTGGCAGGTGGTCACAACATAAAGACTGGGAGACCTGTGGTCAGAATTCTGAATTTGGATGGATGCAAATTGCTGAACCTGTAATGAAATCGTATACTGAGGCAACAGATGGTTCTTGCATTGAGAAGAAAGAAAGTGCTTTGGTCTGGCAGTATGGGGATGCAGACCCAGACTTTGGGTATTCTCAGGCAAAGGAGATGTTGGATCATCTTGAGAGCGTTTTAGCAAATGAGCCTGTTTCTGTAAAGAGTGGCCAGCATATCGTAGAAGTCAAGCCACAGGCATGTAGTTTGCTTCTTGATTTGCATGTTAACTATTTTATTCTACTTTTAGTTCTTATGTTTTGTCTACCTGTTTGATTGTCTTCTGCAAGCAGACTGGCCTGATTTTTATTGTAGCTCAGCAGAATTATGAATGATAATAAATGATGTTGAAGTCCTCATGAATTTATAAATGACAGTGAAGTCCCCAGCACTTATAGTGTTGGCATTATAAGAGTTACTAATAATTTTATAACTTTGCTTATGCAGTCCCATTCTTCATGTACTATATGAATCTATAAATGAAAATGAAATCCGCAGCCCTATACACTCATCAAGATCTGTTTAACCATTTGTAGTCACCCTTAGTGGGTTGTCTTTGTATTGTGAGGTCATTTATTTTCTTGTTGTGTTGTTTCCCAGTATGATTACTTGGTTGCTGCACTTTCATTTGGTTCTCTTTCCTTGTAACCTTCTTGGAATGTTAATCTCGTTGAGCATAGAGTGCGGAAGGAATTGGTGGATACTAGCTTCATAATTTACCTGATAGGTTGGGAATCATGTAGATGCGGAGTATGATTTTCCTTTGAGTGCAGCTACATCATTTAGCAATCTGGAGTTGATTATGTTTACTCGATCATTTTGCAATGGATTGTTTATATTATTTTATTGTATTAAATAGGGTTCCTTTTGCTTTCATTTCTTCTGTGTCCATTGCTTTTCATTAACATATGCATTGTGATTCTAATCTGATAATGGTTGGGATATGTTACACCTAATTAGACTACTGGTTATCTAAAACAACTGATTGATTTTGCCTCATAGTTTGAGAAGTAAATGTCTAATAAACAATTCAGCCAACTTGGTTACTGTGGGTCTCCAGCAGTATAGTGCAACACTTACACATTTGGCTTTGAATTTTGAACATCATAATTGGGAGTGTCTAATCCTTGTGTTCTTTCAGGGGGTCAGCAAAGGCTCAGTTGCAGAAAGAATATTTACATCCATGGTGGAGAAAGGGAAACAGGCTGATTTTGTGCTTTGCATTGGTGATGACAGATCTGATGAGGATATGTTTGAAATTATAGGCGCTGCAATATCAAGAAATATTCTTTCTTACAAAGCTGAAGTATTTGCCTGCACAGTTGGACAAAAACCGAGTAAAGCGAAATACTACTTGGATGACCCATCTGAGGTGATAAACATGCTTGACTCTCTTGCTGATGCCACTCATACTCCAGTTACCTCTGAAGATGAAACAGAAGATTCTTCCTGAAACAAATCATCAGGTTTCTTATTGATTTCTTCTACACATGGAGTTCCTGATTTGGTGGTGCATGTATGCTTAGAAGGGCATTAGGTTTTAGATTTAGGAAATCAAGTCTAGTAGTCTTCCCTTTCTGCTTTGCGTTTATTTACCTCTTGTCTCTATTTCTTCAGTGCCTTCCAAGATAGATACCAATCCAGTGAGGAGAAGGCAAAGTTTTGTTTGGTGCAGAATTCTTTTTGGGGTGAATCTATTAGAAGTAGTTGGGATCTTGGGATGAATTTAATGACAGGAAGGTGTGATTTTGTGAGGTTAGATTTTAGTGCGAAACTGTGGACAGGATTTTAAGCGTGTTCTTGGTGGTAAATGACAATAATTGTGCATTACTGAATCTGGTAATCAGAGAGATTGAGGCTGTCGTAACTAACATGGATGAAGTTTGGCGCTATTCCTCTTAATTAATGGAAGCAACATAATTTTGAATTTCTGAATATTCCTTGGCATCTTGTTGAGAATATAACATGTTGTCTGCTTGAACTTCACATGCCGTAGATGAAAAGGATCCTTTGGCACTTGTGATACCATTTGGGAGTTGAGGCTTGTTGCCCTCGTTGTAGACCTGAGATTGTTTATGGCCTCCAAAGGAGCAAATTACCTATGCATGAAGGGTGACCTACTGAATGAAGTCTGTCAAGGTCTGAAGCCAGAAAATCAGTATTAAAATGTTAGATCAAGGGAATTTGTATTTCTGCATTTGTCCTGCTTGACTGGAGAAGAAGGCCGCAATGTTCTTTTGGATGGCAATATTTGTACTAATGAAAGCAATGTGGATGCAAGAATTAGAATAATCATGACAATAATTCTGTTTGGCAGACATAGTTCACCCTGGATCTTAACTGTAGCATTGGCTTGTCACCCTTTTGAATTCTTTTCGAAATAAACATTGGTATATTGTTTATACATGTACATATTCTGGCATGCTGTTGTCCTCTTGAAGTTGAACATCCCAGTTCCATAAATCGGATTGTTTGTTTTGTCATATCTAGTTATTTATGTTGGTCTTTCAGTTCCATTGTTGTATGATCAAAAGGTTGTTTACTTAAATTCTTTTTAGTGTACCGGATTACAGGAGGAGTTTTGTACTTCGCTTAACATAAATGCTGTTTGCCCAGGGGAAAAATGTTTGATATGCCGTGTATTTTGCTGAACATCGAATACTGTACCACGCCTTTTCATCTTTCTGTGCACCAGCATTTTGCCTGTCAGAAGATTCACACCACCTACTTTGGGACCCAAAGAAGGAAGATAATACACCTTGGCGGCCAACATTTTGTCATTGTTCAAGACTAGAGATCTTCTTGTTTTTAATCTGGTGAAATGAGGACACTGTTGTGTTCGCTCTCCGACTTTGAAGTTTAAACAATTTGCTGTCAAAGAGTTTATCCTCGGAGTTTAATACTATCACTGAGATAACATTCTGCATCTCGATTATGCATGTGTGTGATACGCAGTGATTGTAAAGTCAGTCATTACCCAAAAACATCATCAATGTTCACAACATGATCTGCCAACGCATGTATGAAGTTGAAGCTGATGTTTTAACTCCACTTCCATTGCTCCTTCCAAGACATTCACTACTGTGGACATGCAAGGCCTTCTTGTATGATCATCTTGCAGGCACCGAGCTGCGATTCTTATCATCCTCTCCACTTCCTCTGCATTATTCTTCATGTCCTGGTCAAAATTTCTCACAATGTCAAGTAACTTGTTTTCTTTAGACTTCCACTGCAAGAGATTCAACGGATGCGAGCAAGATTCTGAGTGATTATCAACATTTCTCCTTCCACTAATTATTTCAAGGAGGCCAATCCCAAAACTGTAGATATCAACTTTTTCTGTCGTGAATCGCCGTTCTGGAGCAATGTATCCTGGATTTCCTTTGATGGTTGTGACAACTTGGCTCTTGTCTCTGTCTATGAGCTTAGACAGCCCGAAATCAGAGACTTTGCCGTTGAAGTTTTCATCCAGCAGGAGCTTTTGTGGTTTTACATCAAGGTGGACGACTTTCTGGGAACATTCTTCATGTAAATAAGCTAATCCTTTTGCTACATCAATTGCTATCCTCTTGCGGATCTGCCAATTCAGCTAACGCTCTGGATCTCTGCTGAAAATCCATTTGTCCAGTGATCCATTAGGCACATATCCATATACCCGAAGCTGGTGAGATTTGTCCTTGCAATATCCTATCAATTTCACGAGATTGAAATGATGGATGCTTCCAATTGTTTTGACTTCAGCCAAGAATCCCTTCATATCCAGACTTGGTTTCTCCAAATGCTTAACAGCAACGGAGGTTCCATCCTGTAACCTTCCCTTAAACACACTCCCAAATCCTCCACCACCTAGCTTCTCCTCAAAATTGCTTGGTGCCACACGGAGTTCCTCGTACGAAAACCTCATAGGCAACCCTGGCATTTGTATGCTACTATCTTTCTCTCCTTCTGGCTGTCTTGGAGGTTTTATACTGTCTTCTACTTTTTCTTCCTTTCTTGAGATCAACATGTAGATTGTGCCAAGCAAACAATGAAAGTACATGCACTTACAACTATAACAGGAATTCCCCTAAAGATCACTGCAACAACAAAGGTGCCAACAAGAAATGAAGAACACCAATATCAACGGGAGGCAATACAAGTAACCTTTTTGCTGAAAGTGCTGAGGGCAGAATTGATGCTGGCATGTTATAACTTGTGGCACAGGGAGAGGAAGCAGGACTGGAATTTTTACTATTTTGCCTGACAAAAATCTGAGAATTTGTCTTCCCTTGAAAGAGGGAATTATACGTTCTTGCTAAGAATGCATAGCTGAATAGTGATTGTTTATCATACTATAAAGCTTCCAACTATCTGCCATTTGGACTCAAAGTGAATCGAGGTCATCCTTGACTCTTTGTGTCTCTCTTACGTATGCCCTTGTGTTGATGACCAAGCAACTCTTCAAACATCGACTAGTAAGTAAAGATTTCTTCTTCCTTGTGGACCAGATTGCATGTCTTAACTGTAACCAAAAGTTTACATCTTGAAGGACAAATAATTTGCAATTTTCCAGTCAATGCCGGTTCACACTAGAAATTGGAAATTTTCAGAAATTTCGTTGTCAGTGGCAAGAGGCAACCAATAGATTACCTAGAGAGAGAGTAAACATGAACTTGGAGAAGTCATGCCTTTCGTTGTTAGTGAAACCATGAAATAGCAAAGTGCTCAGGATATTCATCCGTCTTCTTTAGCCTTTCGTCGGATTCGTTCAGGGAGGGAAGACCTTTTTTTTTTTTTTCATTTTTTTGTGGGTTTAAGAAAAAGCTGTTCATTCAGGGGACCCATTTGACATGAGGGGAGATTGATGAGAGGCTTTGTCACTCATATCTCAATCATTTACCTGCACAAGGAAAAATATGAACTGAAGTCTTCCACATTGATCAAAGTTGATTCACAGAATTTTCCACAAAAATGAATGAATTAAGATTGTTGACTTTTTTATTGTAGGAATATTGCTACATTCAGAGAAGAAAAAAGGCTTCATGGTAACTAAAACCCACAAAACTTTCGATTTTTCTAATGTAAGTTGTAATAATATGGTTACTGTCCGAGAAGAAAAATGATGATGATGGAAGTAACCGCTAACTAGTAAGAATGAAAAAAGGTTACACCTGTTCCCCTCACCAATAATCTCCACAAGAACAATATCCATTTTTGAAATGATGAAACCTACTATTATCTCGCACAATAATTTCCCGGTTTTTGACCTTCGATATGTACTTGATAGCAACATGACAATCGCTGCATACACGCAAATTCTTCATCACTCTGATCGGAAAACCCTTTGGAGTGTTCATCAGAGCAAAAGCAATTGCCAGCTTCTCACTGTGGTGCACTAGGTTGTACTCCTTTTCCTCCACATCCATGTCATGCAACACTGAGCCAATATCAGGCACATAACCTTCTATTCTTATTTCTTCCATCAGTTCATTCAAGTAATTCTCAATCTCCTGTGCCAGCGGATGAGATTTATCACCCATAATGAACTGATAAATCTGGTTCTTTATCTCCAACCAGCTTATGCCTGGCTCCTTCTTCACATTTTGATCTCTCATTGCTTTTCGCAACTCTGAAACATCCTTCCATCTTCTGGTAGAGGCCTGAATATTTGCAAGGAGAACATAGGCGGAAGAATCTCGAGGATCAATTTTCAAAACTTCTTCACCTATCCTTTTAGCCATATCTGAATCTTTATGAATCTTACAGGCTGATAACAAAGTCTTCCATATAACAGCATCTGCCTTGATTGGCATTGATCTAATATAGCCTTCTGCCTCGTCTAAACAGCCTGATCTACCAAGTAGATCCACAACACATGTATAATGCTCTAATTGAGGCTCCAGTCCATACTTTTCCACCATCACCTTGAATAACTCAAGTCCCTTTTCTTTCATTCCGCAATGACTACAAGCATATAGTAAACTCAAGAAAGTGACATCATTCGGCTCCAAACCTTCGTGCTCCATCCTATCAAACAATTCCACAGCTTCCTTTCCTCTTCCGTGAAATCCATAAGCAGCAATTATAGAACTCCACAAAACAAGATCAGCTCCCTCTCTTTCCTCAAAAACCTTCACAGCATCATCCAAACAACCACTTCGTGAGTACATGCTAACTAATGAACTAATAACAGGAACGACAGAAAGGGCGCCAACCTTGATGACATCAGCATGAATCTGCTGGCCCTGCCCAAGTGTGGCCAGCTCAGAACATGAACTGATCACGCTCACAAATGTGATCTTATCCGGCCTAAACCCAGACATTCTCATTATGTTGTAAATATCCAAGGCACCCTCTGAACACCCATTTTGGGACCTCCCTGCAATAAGTGTATTGAGAACAGCCACACTATGCATCGGCATCAATCTAATAACTTTCTCCCCTTCCTTTAAGCTCCCTGATCTCATATACATATGACCTAACGAACTTCCAACAATCAAATTCATCTCGAAACCTGACTTAACCACATATCCATGAACTTGCTTTCCCTTATTCAAGTCCTTCAACCCAGCACACCCTCTCAAAACACTCCCAAGAGTGAATACATCAGGTAAAAATCCCAACTTGTGCATTCTGGAAAACAAACTCAACCCATCTTCGTTAAACTCGAACTGGACCGTACCAACGATCATCGCATTCCAAGTGGCTAAATTCCTATCACCCATTTCATCAAACAGCTTAAACGCACTATCCAAATCACCATGCTGAATGAACCCTCCAATTAAAATGTTAAACGACATAGTATTTCTGTTGGGCATTTTTTCGAACAGTGAGACTGCGGCGTCCAAACGGCCTAATTTGGAGTACGCATTGAGGAGATGGTTGACTACAAACTTTTCCTTGAAGCAGCCAGCTGTCAAGATGAGAGAATGGAGTTGCTTGGCAAGGGAGAAAGATTGGGTTTGGATGCATGCTTTTAGGAGGTCAGAAAAGAGAGGTGGATATGACCATATCAAAGAAGTGAAGTTGGTGAAGGCTTCGTCAATATGGCCTCTTGAGCAGAGGTTTTTGAACTCTGCTGTTAATGATTTTGTGCTGAAAGAATGGGAGGTAAAATTATGGAGGGGAAGGCGAATTGTTGAAGTCAAAAGGCCCATGCATTTGTGTTGGTTCATAGGATTGTCCAACACCCAAGCAGACTGGCTGCATGAGGCAGCGTCACTGGATGCAAGTTTTTCTCCCTTGTTAGTACAAGCAACTGGTTCCCAAAGCAAATGAGCAAATTACTTTTGGATCCAATACCTAATTGTTTGTGGCAGGTTACTTTCGTGTACATGCAAGACAACTCCTAAACATTATTAAACTATTGGATCAAATTATGTTTATACTTTACTGTTAATGCAGAGTAATCTTTTAAACGTTACTTTTAAAAAATTTGCGTTAATTTTAACATCGAGGTATCAATTAAGAAAGTGCCAGCAAATTTACATCCAACACTTTTGAGTCTAGAATAATTTTAACAAGATACAATTGGATTGAAGCTTTAACATAATTCAACTAGAATGAAGTTTTCAACTTATGTAACTTGTAGTTATAGACTCTGAGATTTTCAAGAACCACATGCCTGATGATGAGTTAATATTTGGACATTAAATGCATCATTTTCAGAGAAGCAGGTCAAAGAACATGCATGCTTTCACTTTCCTTTTAGAAGAGGTATTGACCATAATTCATGCTTCACAAGGGTATGATATATATGTTGCTTAACCATTTGCCATCAGCACATTGATGTTAGGCCAATACCCACAAGGAGAAGATGAAACTACTATCTTGATGGTGACATACAATGGAAGGTGAATCTGAATTCTGCACATTCTACTTACAATTAATAGCAAATTACACGTACATTATGCAAAATTTGGGAATATTGTACACTCAATGAACTGAAGATGTATAATCAAGCTTAACTACTATGTACTACTTGGTGCAATTATACAGCTACTGGTGTTGGTACAGCAGGAGGAACCCTGTTCTCAGCTGGAATTTCGACAAACTCAGAGAGGATTGCTCGGAATTCATCTCCAGTCAACGTCTCTTTCTCAAGGAGGACTTCAACAATTTTATCAATTGCTTCGCGGTTATTCCTAATGTGGATTAAAGCAACCTCATACGCAGTATCTGAAATTCTCTTGACAGCAGCATCAATGTCTTCAGCAAGCTTCTCGGACATTGAATTCCTAGCCATCATTCGCATAATGACGTCGCCACTTTGAGCTGATGAGTCCATCAAAGACCACGGGCCAATATCTGACATGCCAAAGGTGACCACCATCTGCAAAAAAGATTGAACACCTAATTTATTTCCACAGAAGTAGAAATGTTCAATGTACAAATAATGTATGTAAAACTACAAAGGAACGTGGCCAATTGATTGTTCTAAGATCATTCTGAAGTACTTAAAAGTATTCTAGGAGAAATCCTTCCAACAGGCGGTTTGAGCTGCCTAATCCAGTTCTTTGGAAGTTTAGGTAGAGGACTTTGACCATTCTCTGTGCTTTTCAATCCCTCAAAACTAAAAGATTATAGAAATTGGCTACAGAACTTGCAGCATTGTGACTGATTTGAAAGGATTCAAAATGATTGTTGAATTCCTCAAAGAAGTCTAGCCACCATAGAATGATAAGTAAAGAAAAATGTTTGAAAAGAGGAAAGACTGATACACCTGTTTGGCCAAACCAGTAATCTGATACAAATCACCAGCAGCACCTGTTGTCACCTCAGGCTCGCCAAAGATCACTTCCTCAGCAGCTCTTCCACCAAGCCCCCCAACAATTCTAGCAAAGAGTTGCTGCTTGGAGATCAAGGTTGGGTCATCTGCAGGAATAAACCAGGTCAGACCCCGAGCCTGACCACGTGGGACTAGGGTGACCTTCTGAACAGCATCATGCCCTGGAGTGAGAGTTCTGGATAATAACAAACTTGAGACATTAGTCTAGACTCTAGAGTCTGTATAAACAATTCTACTTGATCTTACCAAAAAAAAAAAAAAAGGAATCGGCTCCAATCAGGTAGATATCAGGAAGATCACAATTTTCTTAGATCTTAATCCACACATCTCTCAACAGCATTAAGTTAATCCATTCATGTCTAATGACTTGATTTGCATACTTGAAATCTCATGTAAAACTAACACCAAGCCACCAACTAGATCTAAAGAATTTTATCCTATATTGTTCAACTTGTGTGCTTCTTTGTGAATCAGAAGTGAAGCAAGGATATGAGCTCAAAATGCATAGATTCAGAACTGAGCATGAAAATCAGCTAATGATTGTGAAAAATCTGAAGAAGTCGAGCTCCAGTAAATACTATCATGACTATCATCACATAGAAATAGTGACTAAAGCTCAGTATCAAGGACAGA